AAGTAAAAGTTGAAGGATATTAGTGAAATCATATTATTTTCAAACGGTATACAAACTACTTAAGCAGTAAATTCACTTGGAATTTTTTTACTTGAATCTTCCCATTAATGTTTAGGATTGCAATTGATCAGACTCTCATTGGCATATGTGCATTCTTTGCGGATATCCCCAATACTGCCTTGATTCACAAGCATTATAAGCAAAGATGGATAGTGGTTAGTAGTAGAACCCGAGACGCGCGTTTCGCCCTATTTGCATATCAGGACTCAGTAGCTAAGTGGATAACGCGATGGCGTTTAAAGAGAATGGTACTGGGTTCGAGTTCCGGAGCGAACATCGAATCTGGAATGCTGGTACATCCAGCTGACGAGTCCCATATATGACGAAACGGGCGTCCTGGGTTCCACTACTAGCTACTATTTATCTTTGCTTATAATGCTTGTGAATTAAAGCAATGTCGAGGCGATCCGGAAATGCCCGATTTGTTCAGAACATTTTTACGTATTGAGATGGTGGAGAGGATTTGTAGCACAGGTGGACGGCATTTTACGTATTTCAACAAAAGGCATGGAAACAACCAGCCCCTTATAACGGTTCACGAAACTTACATTTATTAAGGTAGTTTTCATGAACAGATGGATTGCAGGAGTCGTAAATAGCATGAAATTTTCTTTCTGAGCAAATATGCAGTGCTGAACAATCACTCTCGAAGGCAGCGAACTCAGGAAATGAAGATGCAACGAATTTCTGGTGCCGCACTATGGACCAGGACATGTTGGATTCTAGGAAGCGAAAACAATAGAGCCTGTGTTTTGTAGGTGTTTTCAAAAACAGCTTACAAGTATTCAGTTAAATGCTATTAGTATAAGAGAACATTCAAGGTGCAAACGTCGATGAGCAGAGAATATGGACGCTTATTATCTAGTGAAATGTCATACGGAGAATCGAGTTACACTTTTGATTATACTTATCATTTAGAAATTATAATAATCAGCTATATTGGTATTAACCGTAGGACCATTACTTCAAATTTCAACTGTCCAGGTGTAAGGGAATCGAATAACTCAATTAGTTGTGGTTTAATATTTTCGATTCTTTATTTCTTCTATTCGTGTCCTCCTTATGGGTTGATTATTTAAATGTCAGGATCTGCATCAAGTGATTGGTAGATTTTCATTTTAAATTGCTAATCTAGTTGACTCATGGAAAGTTGAACAGGTCAACTAGTAAATCTGTGGTATGATGTAGTAGAATAACCACAGATCAGTGACTACTTTCGTATCTATGATCCACAACTATTGAATGCCAATAACAGAATTGTTGGGAAGTGACCGATGGTTTCTCCAAATTGTTGGTCGCTAGGAGTCAATTTATTAACTTATATTTTACTCATATAGGTTGACAAAAAAGGAATTGCGAATGTATCGTTTGGTATTGTTACTCTCACTAGTTTACAAACTGGTAGTTTGTTCCATCGCAAAGGCGTAAGACAGTGAGTGTTGGAAGAGTGACTTTATGTGCTTAGTTGGAACTAATTACATAAAAGTGATGAGACTATGTGTAGCCATTGTGAATGGAATATTGAGTTAATACTACTCTAACTGCCTAAGAGAATCAAACAAATTGAATAGGAGGAACGATGATTAGTGGATTACATGGAACATAATAATGAAGTAAAACTTTGGGTATTAACCAAAAATAACTCAAAATGCAATTCTGCAGCTATGTGAATCAGATTTATGCAATTGTGAAATTTAAACGAATGCGTTGGAACCAAATTTACTCCATTTCCTATCACCATACACGAATAATATGATGAAGAATTGGAAAATGAGCAAATAACAATTTCTATGGTATAAGTAATGAAGGATTCTCTTATGCCGTCTGGAGTTTAAACTGCGATTGTCCAGAATCAATATACTAAAGCATTTGAGTTTCTTTCAGTTGTTGGGTAGATGAGAGATATAAATATATACTACTGAGAAACATGTACAATTCCGTCTTACCGCTAACCTAGAACAACATTTAATAATGAATTATTGATCAAACAATTGTTAGTAAAACCAGGCCTACAGTTTTTTTTATAGATGATCAGTATAGTTATGGTTAAATTCGTGTCTAGCATAAAAGTTGGGTAGTGAAGTGTTCATCTTAAAACAAATTTCGGTACGCACAGATGCTATCTAAAACTATCTTCCTAAAATAATCTGGCGTCTTAGATTATGAGCGGTAACTAACATAAATGATTAATATCAAAATGTAACCAAATACCTGGTGAGCTGTAAGAAATCCATTCAAGATACGTCACATAAGTTGAAGTCGAATCGCTACATATGGGATCTTCTTCAGATTTTTTCGAAATACCAACAAATAAACAATCCAAAAAGAGTTGATGAGAAGTGTCATCAGAATTAAGTAAACAGTCTAATAGCTGACTATCTTTCTCATGGACAGGAGGTTGGATCCTGCTAACAACCTGAAAATATATTTAAGATTTAACAGATATAATAACAAACTAGGCAACGCAATTAAGTTAACTGTGTTTATTAGGTTCGTATATTACACCGGAAACTTCGAGAAAACTGATCGATTCGCATAAAGACTTCAGAGCAGTTGAACTTTATGCTTGATTTTTTAGTTTGGCAGTTTTTATACGCATATGTAATACTTTATTGCAATGGAAACACATTTCCAACAAACGCGTGAATAAAGACCTAGCATAAACTTCACGAAGAGTAAAGGAAACAGGAATCTGAATCTTTAACTTATTGAGCAGTCGAAATTGTTGAGTTACCACTACCACTTTTAGTACACAATGGTAATAATCAGAGATTGAAGAATGTAGTGGCGGAAATAAGAGTTCATATTCTCTACTCAGTCATTACTGACTTGCCATGTCAATTTTACACGACCAAAACGTAATCATCAATTTCGTACACATGCATTAGTTCTTTCCGATAAAAATTTAAATATAGCAACAAAACAATAAATATTTCTGATACTACAAGTACAAGGAATCAGAATTTTTAACGTCCCGCCACTCAGTTTAAGTTGCTTCTCTTATGACTTTAAATTCACTCAAAGGAGCTAACAAGATCATTATCTTAGAAAGAGATAAGCTAAGGGAAAAATAATGTCAACACCTGACAATTTAATTCTACTAATATTAGCATTAAAACATACTAAAACGAAGTACCTTTGAATAACAACTCAAAAGAAATTTCATGGGTCAGTATCGTAGTTTTATCTTCCTGCTATAGTACAACGGAAGAACTGGAACGCATCTCGAAGCTAAATAGGATTAACTGTCCATAAAACAACCAATACTCTTCGAAATACTTAGGTCAGATCAAGGGAAAAGATCACTTTCGCACCAATACAGAATTACTTCTACAGATTAAGTTGTATCGAATGTGATGCTTTCTATTTTGGAAAGTCTCCTCGTAAAATCTCGACTCGTGTCACGCAACACCTAAACTATACAAAAATACCCAACGATCCCGTGAAACTGGAAAATTTACAGACTAAATGGACAATAGTAGTATTTGCTGTATTCAACAACCACGAAGTCAATATTAAAGATATCGAAACAACTCGGAAAGATTTTTTAAACTATAAAAAAGGGCGCGTAGCTGGGGCGTTTCACGTAATCTTAAAAATCTTAACTCTACTTCTTCAAATCACAAATTCGACATTCACTAGCACACGCATAAGTACACATCGTGATGTCTCATACAAAATCACTTTAACCAATGAAAAGACGGTGACAGAATCAGAACAGTTTTGATTTTGACTGAACTAAATATTTGACCTAATCCTCTTTACTATTCAAACCTGTGTTAATTCGATTATCTATTTATTTACTCTGTGAAAAATGGAACAGAACTAAGTTGCGAAACGTCAGATATCCTAATTTATCAAATTACATCACAATTTGATTTTATCATTTATTTGATGTCAACTGGAACAGAAGTCTTTCACGGCTTCATACCAATTTGAAGTCTTTTCCAAGTCTTTCATGTTCAGTATTATTCTTTGATGCAGCCTATATTCAGAGAGCGGAAGTGATTAGACAGTATTTTGGAAATGAGAAATGAAAGAGTCTCGCTGGGTCAGCAACGGTTAGATGACCGCTTCTTCGCGACTGTGGTTGCAATAAAGTGAGAAATACTCACGTATTTAACCTGAAGTATTACGAGTTAAATTTTAATTAGGATGTCACAGTTGACTCAAAATAAGCAATGACTGGATTGTTCAAAATGTTCACTCAAGTTATTCAGGAAGTAGCAATTAGTTTGAAGATCTATTCAGTCCCATAGTTTCATGATGTGATTAGGAGTAACAATTCGAAAACTAGTCATGCACAGGGCTACTTTGATATGAAAAGCAATTACAGTAAGTAGTGGAGCTAATTTATTCTCAGCATACAAAACCCTGAAAGAAAACGAGCTAAAATCAAATGTCGAAAAGGCAAAATATAAAACTTACGTTGAGTAAATCATTTCTTTGTTGAACATCTGGCTTTAGGAGATATAGATTACCTAAACCATCATACAAAGATACATAATATAGCGCAGGAAACTGGATCGACACATTACGAAACTTTTCATCAGATGGTTCACACCAATCAGGAAGTGTGAAAACAATGGTTCCTTGGTTAAAGTTTTGTGGATACTGTGGTACCTTCATCGACACTAACTACAAAACTACTTGTTTAAACAATATTAGAAACCTACAGACCCATCGGTACTCATGTAGTAAACATAGCTGGTATCAAACGGATTAACACACAGGCAGTTAATATTATTGTATGCTTTGAGATGTTGTTTAGAAGTAACTTCGTTGAGAGGTTTGCAGTAAACTCCATTTTGACTACTTGCCTCATAAATAGGTATTTTAAGCAGACTGAGTTTATAAGACTCAAAATTCGGGTCGAGAAGTGAATGGTCGGGTCTTAAACTAACATTCATTATGTAGAGTGGCGACCCGTTCAGTTTTCGTTAGATTTTTGATTGAGTTGCTGGTGAAAACGTGGTACTGACAAGGTTGTTGCTCCAGTTGACACGAAAGTCTGAAACATATACCACACAGTTGACTGACCAAGCTGAAATAAAAAATATAGAAAGCAGAAAATATAGTATTTACATAGTGAATAGTATTACCAGTTATCGAAATACTAAGTTCTAAGTGAATTGGTATGTATGGGAACGAGTTGTATTGTTCTATAAACTCAGGACTATATGATACTATCAACTAACCATGTGTTTATATGCTTATCTTCTATTCTTTGTGAGCAGCTGATATGAAACGACTTTTTCCTTCACTCAAGCAGTTTTACTTTAAGGATAGATCTAAAGTTTTTGCTGGCATTGAATCAGGTCAATTTACGTACGCAAAAACAAATCACAATGTTGGCATATCTAAGATGAGTCTTGCTCGTTCTGGATGCAAAATGTCGCCTTAAGACTGATCTGCATCAAAACTTGAACTAACAATGGGCAGCGAAGCGGTTGAGCCTGTCGAATGTTTGACTTATCTTGGAAGCCTTATTAGCCCTAGTAGGTAGATGCCCGGCTAAATCTCATTATGGATTTAGAAAGCTCAATTGGTTCTTACCAACTTATGTTACTTGTGGAGTAGTGAGATCTTCATCTACAAGTTCTCTCTGTTTTAGTCTATGGCTATGAAATGTGGCCTTTAAAAAGAGAATTTTCTTAGGTTGTTGGTATCTGATCATAAACGCCTTTGAAGCGTTGTTCGTTTACGTTGGGACAGCCAAATGAATAATGTTAAGATTAGACAGAAGGTACTAGGTAAAGAGAGAAAGTCCATTGATGGTGTGGTAAATCTTTATTGATTGAGGTCATGGGGATGTGCCACCGCTTACCTCAACTCACGATGGTGGCTAGTGTAAGAGTAAGCTGAAAGGAATTTAAAGGTGGCTAAATGCAAACGTGGGACCAGTTTATAAAGTCACTGATTAGATGGAGATTACCTAGTTGGCCCCGAGAGATTATTGTAACCAGGGGTTAGAGACTTTGAACAACATGGTTTAGGATCATTTGCGATGGTGTGGTTAAATTCACTCTTTATCTTCCCTTAGATCTTAAGCTTTCAAATGACCTCATAATTCATTAATATTCCACAAATACGTGTTTTTATTAAAGTCATATTTTCAGTTCCTAGTCATTTATACTACTATGATCTAAAATGTCTTGACAGTTTCATCTCGCTTTGTTGAGGTTTGGCAGTTTGAAATGATACATATATGTACCAGCTTTTAAGTTATATTTGACTCGGTGGCCGACACTACTACTTTAATCCAGTAAGGTGAAGAGTTTAGCGAAATGAAGCAAAGGTGCAAAGTCAATGCAATTTTAGGACTTTATGTTCTGTCGATGATACCTAACAAAGAAACAAGATTCGTTCTTAAAAATTAACACCTTAAATAGATATATCTAGGTTGAATCTAAAATATAATTTGTGTTTTTATAAACAGTTCATAACCAACCGTGTAAGGTCAGCAGTAAGGCTGCTGGCTCATTTAGAACAGTAAGATCTAATAGTGGGAAAGGTACCTGATAGATCTTTGAAGAGAATGAAAATGTTAATAGAGTAATTGACATGGAAAGATTATGGTGCATGCGATATGAGGACCAGGCATAAGCGTAGTGTAACATAAAGATATGAAAATGGAGAGCAGTAACCTGAAAGACGATTTGAAGTGAAAGGGATCGGTAAAGTACAGGTTATTCGGGATAAGAATGATTACGTGTGAAAGATTATTTCTAGGTGAAACAAGAGGTCGTTATGAAGGACTTTCAAAAGTTATTGCAAATTGTTTATATGTTTACCAAATCGCCTTTTATAGAGATTTTATTGAATGGCTTACGCGTGCAAGTCTTGTTTGTGACGTTTTTGACGTTAGTAAAACTTTTTGATTTCAAATTTGGATTCGCACGATCTACCTGATTGGTAGGACTAAATGACCTGATAATCAATGAATAATTAAGAAAAGAATGACTCGAATTCCATATTTTGGGGTTTTCCCCAAAGTTTGGGGAAGCCACAATTGAAAATTTTGGGAAAATCGCATAGAATCTCCAAAATTTTCCCCAGGGCTGGGGAAAACTATGACGTTTTACATGAATTTGAAGAAGACCCCTAAATTTAATTAAAATCAGCAGACTCTACAGAGATATGTCTCCGACATTACAATGTCGGATAAATGGAAGTGGATTGAATACGATTTAGTCTTCAGTGATAAGGATAGTTTGTTGGTGAACCTGTGTTAATCCTGGCAGTTTGCCTTCCAGTGAAGGTCCAGTTTCTCCTTGGAAATATTGACTGATGGGACTGATACCACTTGTTCGGGAAAGGCGTTCCAATCATTGACTACTCGATGAGAAAAACGGGACCCCACTTTAAGTTTATTAGATCGCGGTTTTATGAACCTACTTGCTATGACCTCGGAGATTATTAGTGCTGGAGGGAGCAAAAAGATAAAAAATATTACCACCCAAATCATAGTTAAAGATACGAAATGCCAGTATGAGGTCACCTCGCGTCCTACGATACAAGGGGAAAAGGTTTAGGCGTTTTAAACGCTCATCTCAAGGGAGTTTAGAAAGACGCTTCACTAATTTCGTTTCCACACACTGGACACGCTCAAGTGAGTTAGTATCGTTTACCAGACATGGGCTAGCTGCTTGGATACAGTACTCTAAATGTGGTCGTACGTAGGTGGGATATAAAATTCGAAGCATTTCCTCGTCAAAAGATTTGAACGCTCGACGAAGTGAAGAATTTGAAGGTGATTAGTTACACCAATGTGATGTATCTTTTCTACAAATTAGTACATTCTACTTAGGTTGTTGAAAAAATAAAGTTGAACTGAAAATATATCTTCGATTGAAACAAGACGTTTATACATAAGTCTCTTGTTTTAACATAAGTTTCAGTTTCAGTTTCAGTTTGGGAAGGACAGGAGGCTCGATGGCCTATGTTAGTCCTGGCAATGGTGGTCTCTCAGTTGATCCAACTTTCTTTTGAAAGAGTCGACGGATGGAGCCTCAACCACGTGCTGAGGTAGTGAATTCCACTCGTTGATGATTCGATGGGAAAGTCGATAGTCAGCTGACAAGTAATTTGTTCTCGGCTTATGAACTTTTTTGGAGTGTCCTCGTAAATTCTCTGTTTTGGAAGACAAGAAAAATGAGGGCATGTTAGGTGCAAATTTATCACTAAGCAATTTGTAGACTGTAATCAAGTCGCCTCTAGTTCTGCGATATGACAACGGGAAAAGGTTCAGCTTGGCCAGTCGAGATTCATACGGAAGCTTCGCTATTGCGGGAACCAGCTTAGTCGCCATTCTCTGAACCTTTTCCAGGAGCTCTCTGTCTTTTTTAAAGCAGGGGCTAGCCGCTTGTATGCAGTACTCAAGTTTAAAACGAACGAACACTGTATACAAAGTCAAAAACGTCTTAGTGTCGACATGACTAAAAGCCCTACGTATTGACCATAAGGTTCTAAACGCTTTGGCGGCTATTGCACGGCAGTGTGCAGTAGTCTTTAAGTCTTGACTAACGATAACTCCTAAGTCATTATATGTCTGGACGACAGGTAGCTCAGTGTTATTCATCGTGTATGTATCTGTGCCTTGATGACCGATATGCATCACAACACACTTGGAAGTATTTATCGGCAACTGCCATGTTTGAGACCATTCAGATAACTTCTTCAGGTCATTTTGAAGTTCTAAGCTATCACTCTTACATCGTATCGTTCTCCATATCTTGACATCGTCAGCATATAGCAAGGCCGATGATGATAGGAGACAAGGAAAGTCATTTACATACAAGAGGAATAGCACTGGCCCCAAAACTGTACCCTGGGGGACTCCACTAAGCACGGTTTCCCAGCTAGACAACTTGGAGTTCACCCTTACTCTTTGTTGACGCCCAACATAAAATATAGTTTTGGATTAAGAGCGTTATGAATTTTATAATGCTTGTGACTGTAGCAAATCCAGTTGATAAACACAGAAAGAGACAAGATAGAAAACAAGAGAAAACCCACGGCTTGGTTCTTTACTGTCCCCGCCTAATGACCTTGTGATACGTATTGCTTCCAAAAGTTTTGGGTGACCTTCTAAACACTGTCCAATACAGTCTTCAGTCTTCAGTAATAAGGATAGGAGGTCTGTTGACCTATATTAATCCTTGCAGTTTGTAATACTGTCGAGGTCCAATCTCGTTTTGAATATATTAACAGACGCTGCTGATATTACGTGTTCCGGTAGAGAATTCCAGTAATTCACTACTCGGTGCGAGAAACGGAACTCCAGACGTAAACGGTTTGATCTCGGTTTTTCAACTTTCTTCGAATGTCCTCTCAAATGATCGGTTCTAGACGGAAGCAAAAGATAAGACATGTTAATACCAAGGTAATCGTTCAGTATACGATAAGCCAATATTAGATCACCCCGTACTCTACGGTAAGATAACGGAAATAAGTTAAGGTGTCTCAGTCTGTCTTCATAAGATAGGCCAGCTAGACCTTGTACTATCTTAGTAGCTCGTCGTTGGACTCTTTCTAGCATATCTGCTTCATATTTGAAACAAGGACTCGCTGCTTAAATCCCGTATTCTAAATGTGGTCACACATAAATCGGGTATAGTAATCCAAACATTTCATCATCTAAATACTGAAAAGACCATAATACCCTATAGACTTTTGCAGCAGCAGCCCTACAGTGACTAGTCGTTTTGAGATCATTGCTTAATATAACTCCTAAGTCTTTATAGTTTCTTGCTTTGGGTAGCACGAATCCACGTAGTGTATAGTCATACGATTCATCAGAGTTATTTTACTGCATCACTACACTCTTATTAGGATTTACTTCTAGTGACCACCTGTCTAATCATGCCACCAATGAGCTAAGATCGTCATGTAATACTACTCTATCCGACATACTATGTATGGGTCTCCAAATCTTTATGTCATCAGCGAAGAGTAGAACGGATGATTTTGCTACAGTTGGCAATTCATTTACATAAAGTAAAAAGAGAAGAGGACCTAGGATTGTGCCTTGGGGAACCCCACTTTTTACAGGTACCCACGAGAAGAGAGCCCCATTAACCCTTACCCTTTGTCTTCTGTCATGGAGAAAGTTACTTATCCAATCGACGACTGTGTAATGGATTCCAAAACGTTTCAGTTTGAATTTAAGACCAGAGTGGGAAACCTTATCAAAGGCTTTACTTAGATCTATGAAAATTGCATCCACAGGAGCATTCCGATCCTTTGCCGCGGCCCACTCTTCTCGTGCAATGAGATGATTTGTCAAGCAAGATAGGCCTTTCCGAAAACCATGTTGTGCCCTAGAGAAAAGATTTTGACCTTCAGCATAGTTTATAACAGCTATCCGAATGATTTTCTCCATCAGTTTCACAACTGCACTTGTTAAGCTAACGGGTCTATAGTTACTAACTAATTCCCTACTCCCAGCCTTATACGCCGGACTAATTATGGCGTCTTTCCAGTCTCTAGGAAGTCTGGACTGTCTCAGAGACATGTCGAATAGTATCGCTAATGGTTCAGCGATTTCATCTGATATAGCTTTCATAATCCTAGGATGAATATCATCGGGACCACTGGACTTATCAGGTTTGAGATGCTGAAGTAGCCTTAAAACAGTATCTGTCTCAATGACTACAGGATCCATCAGCGAGCCGTCACGGTCACGATGAATCATTGGTCGTTCCTCATTACCGATAGAAAACACTTTACTAAAATATTCCGATAAAGCTTCAGCTTTTTCGGCATCATTCTCTGCTAAGATTAACGGATTGTCTCGTATCAAAAGTGATGGAATTCCATCGCTTCTCTTAGTTCGCCTTTTTATATACGAGAATAACCGTTTCGGACTATATCTAGAATCCCTAACCAATTGTTTTTCGTATGAATGTCTAGTCTTGCTTATTAACGCTTTACAGGCATTATTAATCTTACAATAACTGGATCTGTATTGTTCTAAGCCAGTAGAGATGAACATATTCCAGTGATTCTTCCTTTTTCTAAGGAGTTTCCTGGCCGTTTTAGTTATTCATGGTGGACTATTATTCGGTCTTCGCGGCACCAGGTATGGTATGAACGGGGACGTAATTAGTCTAAATTTACCTTTAAATTCAGACCATGCTTCTTCAACTGATATGCTAGTGTCTACTAACCAATCTGTCTTAGCAGCGCATTCCTGAATGGCTGATATATTAGTTTTCCATACATTTGGGCGCAGTGTAACCTGATCGTATAACATGTCCCTAGTTCTAAACGCGAATGACAAAACAGCGTGATCGCTGTTTACTAACGGTGGAAGAATATTTAGGTCGACAATATCCTCAGTCTCATGAGTGATTACCAAATTCAGCACAGAAGAACCCTGGTTAACACCAAAACGTGTGGGTTGGGATACATGTTGCACTAGTGCATGCTCCATTATTGTTATCAGTAACCTACTATCAAAGGAGTTTATAGATCCTTCTGTGGTCATATCAGTCCAATTAATATCAGGTGCGTTAAAGTCTCCTATTATTAAGCACCTGGTATTATCACTCCAAAAATGAATGTGCTCTAAAACAAAGTCATCAGCTAAGCAGATTGGGCTCCGATAGATGATACCTAGCATAAATGTACTACATCCTATAGCCAACTTACAGCTAATGACTTCACAAGTGCCGCTATCATGGGATTCGCTAGTAGAGGAGCGGATGTTTATGCTATTGGTTATATATAACAGGACGCCGCCTCCTTTTCTACATCTATGTCTATCACTCCTGATGCTAGTCAGGGACTAACCAAGTTTCTGTCACTGCTACTATGAGTGGCTTTAACCTGTCTACTAGTGCTTCTAGTTCATAGAACTTATTTCGTAAACTACGAGCGTTGGCATATAAAACTCCTAAGTAGAACAGCCTATCCACACAGGCCTTGGTAGCATTCGCTTCCAAGACATGACTATCCGAAAACCCACTAGCCGGAGATTTTCCTCGCCGTTTTGCTGATGGATTTCAAGTTCAGCTAGTGCTTTCTTCCTTTTTATTCTATCTTCGAGAGACATATCAGGTCTAACTCGGATGTCAGAATTGTCGTGACAACGAGCGCTACTTAACAAGAGATCCCGTTGCTTCTCCGATCCTAGGATTACCTTAAGGAGTCTGCATGGACGGGGTTCAACATTGTCCTCGGTCCTCTTGCCTATTCTTACCAATTTTTTGACCTGAACGCCTTTGGAGTTATCTGGTAAAATACTACGAATGTATTCTCCTAGCTTTTCTAAGTCATGCGCGTGTCTAGTTTTCGGATCAGGGTCGTTTGACTCGCGCAATTTGCTCACAATAATATTCGATGTTATCAGATTTTTCTTCTCAGTCACGCCAAGATGGGTTTCACTCTTACCATCAGATCTTGGTAGTGCAATTTGTGGCTCACAATTTGAGTCCACCAGTGAGTTACTAACTACCTGTGTACTGCTTACAGCTTTTTTCTTTTCTTTTCGTTTCCTACGTACCGTAGTCCATTTTTCATCCCTCATAACACTGGGACTATTTGGAACGGTGACTGTTTTATCCAGATCTTCTGTTCCCATTAAAGGTGCATTATTAACAATGTCAGTACCAGGCGGTACTACTCCCCCTGTTTATATCAACGAAGATTTAACTTTTACGTCGGTCAGAGTCGGTTGTTTGAGGCGTCGCGTAGCAGCAGGTACTACACTGACACATTCGTCACTGTCAGTGCCCGTGTTTTCAGCGCAAATGCCATCCTTCTTTTTACAGGCCAAAGCCAATAGGCTCATAGCCTCCTGTATTAGTAATGCCTTGTTGGCACAGCAAAACATGCAAAGCCAATGTGAGTTAGGCTTCGAACATCTTTTGTATGCGGTGGGACTTAAGCGGGTGCACATTTTGTGGAACCACTTATGGCATTCGTCACACTGCATTCCCTTCTCCACAGGGAACAAACAGTTTGGTTGTCCACATTTGTGAGTACTACCAACCAGTTTAATCTGATCAAGGTGTAACACAATATGATCACAGTATGAACACAAATGTCTGTCAACGAGTAAAAAGTTACCACAAGAAAAACTTTAGCAAGATTTCAAACCTTAACGAAAGTACTTTGACACAGACCAAGAATGCTTCGAACGTAATAAATACACAAAAGCCAAAAAAACTCAACAGAATATCACTTCAGCTGTATTAGATTCAATTAAAGTGTAAATCGTAGTTTTGATACGTAATTTACGATCAAAACAATTTACTAATTCAACGAGAAACAATACCACTGTCCTTTTTAGATAGCGCGCCAGTTATTCATACGTAGGAGAAAATCTTCGGTCACAGTTTTGAAGATTTAGTAGCAGAAGTAGTCTACTTACGTTTTATAGGTATTTGCGTTATCCTTCGTTATGAAAAATAATAAGATGTTGTATTTGTTGCTTGGAACCGAAAAAAGCAATTCGTTGTGTTGGATCTATATTGAACTGCTCAAAGATGGTTTCCGGAAGATGCGCTTCCGATATGAAATATCATTACTAAATATACCACAGGTAATCGGAGTTTGGCTGCTCGTTCAAACGTAACTCCCTTATAATCAAAATATACCAACCCAGTCACATCAGAAGTCAGAAGTGAAGGGCTTGAATATATAATTAGGAAGTTGTCGATATTATCGAGAAGTGTTTCGTTTTGGCTGACTAGCAGTATGGCGTACTCACTAGTGATCTAAAGCGGATGCGCGACCGAGCGTCATCAGCTAGGTTGTGTGCAGTAAAACTATTGAGGTCAGTAAAGATGACAAAGGCATATATAATGATTTATTTTGTCTATTTATTTGTTGCTACATAACCTACAGATACAAATATATTTAAAACTGTTTCTTTCTAATATTGCTGATAAACAATTGATTGATCACGGGATGGTGTTCAATGTCATGTATGCAGTATTCAATAGGTATACTGGTCACTAAAATTCCTTCAGCTGTTTGAAGGCACTTTTGAATGCATCAGGTCATGGTCCCCATAGCTAGCTTACCTATGTTAGTGAAATATATAGGTCTTACAAAAGTATGGCTACCCACAATTTTTTCTAAGGTGTTACAGCTTGCTTAATTCATTGTCTTCAGTCAGTCTTGTGACGAAGTCATAGGTTTGTAAACATAGTTGAAGCATCTGTAGGACCATTATCAAAAGACTCGAATTCACGCGTTTCCTTTTTATATCATCTTGTATTTCACACTCAAACCAAGTTGTCAATTTAGTTCATCCAAAAAATAAAGATGCTAAACGAGTGAGTCATTGCCATATTAAATATGATCTTATGTCTACTGAAGTCTTTAGTTAATCAGCGTCCGTTGTTGAATTCAAAACTTCGAAAAGTGTAGGTCCTATATTAGTTTGTATTTTATATGGAATAATTATGGGTCACATTCACAATTACTAGGAAAATAAAGTTTTGTGATTATTGAATAAATAAGCACAAATGATATGGAGATCGTAATGTGGTGTGTGCTATTTATACGGACAAATCTAAGTAGTATGTATTCGGATTGCGATTAGAAATCCTACTGGCAGAAGAGAAACATGAAGAGCAAAGAAAGAAGAGCAAAAATGGTTGAAGTAAATAAATTGGTTTATTCTGCGCAGGTCTTCAACCAATAAGATTCTAGATTCGACTGTGTACATTTAAACACTAAAAACTACAAGTCACTTTATTTTAAAATGCAGATATTAATAGGTTATTCAATAAGTTTTAAACGATGGAGAAATTTTTTATTGCTCGAATTACTTAACAATGAAAAATCGTCTTACGCTTAAAATTCAACCATGCAATTCTTCTTGTCGTACAAACCAGGACCTTCTACGTAACATGGCAACTAAATGCCCATGGATTTTACTGCTGATATCAGCTGTAAGACAAAATTATAATGCTTACCGTAGTAATCGCTAACGATTTGCTTAAAAAAAATTACGGGGCCAAGACAGCCACCGAAGTGTTTGATTAGTTTGACTTTTACCAATTATTAATACTATGGACTGTATATAAAGTCTTTTATGAGATTTGCAAGATATTCTTTTTTGTATGACTAGCTAGTGTAAAACCTACCTTTTTGAGCTTACTTATTGATGTTAAGGTACGCACAACCTGATTTGTGTCTTTTATCGGTATTCCGGAAAGGCACTGACTAAGCGTTGTGGGACTTTTTACTTCCACATTAATGCCTTAGTTAAAGACCTGTTATTCACCAATGTAAGCGACCTGTTTGGGTGGTTCCGGTCTGTTGGGGTTGGATGGGAATGGTTTTACCTTCCAGCTTACGTCGAAGTCACACCTCACGGTTAATACATAACGTGTATCACCCTCTCGTTGTATCCAGGCCCTGTGTCTACTTTGATAATCTTATAGAATAAGGATAATATTAATAAATAAGTGTATTACTAAGAAAACATAGAAGAAATAGATTATGACCGGTGCTACACAGGTTACTGGACGGAGCTAGAAAGGATTGCCCAGGACAGGGTTGGATGGAGAATGCTGGTGAGCGGCCTATGCTCCTTCACGAGGAGTAACATGCGTAAGCAAGCACTACACAGGTTAGTTCATGGCGTACAATCAATCAGTAACTTGTCTGCCGGATAATTTGGTCAGGGCCCGATAACATTTAACTGGCCCTACGAACAAAATCTCATACCAAGAAACTGTCATGGATACAAAAAGCTATGCGAAAAAGTAAGCCAACTGATTTATCTCTCTTTTGCTTACTTCAAGTCCCAAGGAGAGATATAGAAAATATCTATGGAATCAATTGACATAGGTGACATTTTGACAACTGAATTAACATGAGTTTTTTTTTAAAATTATTACTATTAGTATTACTACTATTATTAAGGCTATGAATCTTTCAGATAAGTATGACTTTTTTGAAAAAACATCAGATTTTTGAGCATCAATTATTAATAATTTAGTCGCAGTGATGTTCGAAATTTTATATCACCATTTAAGTTAAATATGGATGCAGAAAAAGTTATGAGCGCCATTCTGAATGCTATAATAATTTTGAACCTAATATCTGAATAAGATAACCAGTACTGACTGGTCAGTTTGATCGGATATAAAAAATGCGGATCTACCTATGACCATATTAATTGATAATAGAATGTTTAATGCCTAGCATACTGGTGTGGTATCACGATTTCTGTTAAATAATTATATCTCTATTCCTTATACTTACGTGTTTATACGGGTTCATTTAATCAGGTAAGTAAAACAAAGGTCAACTTGAGGTCTTGCATTCATGTATAACTCTCACATCACACACATAGTCTCAACGACTATTATTATCGTAGCTTAACTAGTGCATAACATATTTTATAGTTGTATTCTAAAAATGGCTTGTTAATTTCTTTCTAAAATTTTTTAAAATTTTACTCGGATATTCACATAATTTAAGTTATGAAGCACGTGGAAGTACTTCAGTGTAGCTAGAATAAAAAAACAAAATACAATCAAAACCGCTTTTCAGATGAAGGCAAAAATGATGAATTATTTGACATGTGCTACCAGAAGTTAAGCACGAATAACAATAATACTGATAAATTACACACACGTATAAAGGTGATGAATAACAGTTCAAAGAGGATAACATAGTTGTAATTCACTTTCTTAAAATAGTATTAATTATGAATGTATTTATGTATAATGATCATTGTATAATATTTGCCAACATATTTTCATATTAATCAAAAATAATTTTCAAAATAATTTTGAGTTAATAATGCAATTGGCATTTTACTGATGATATACTTTTGATATTATATGTGAAAAAATAAGAAAGTTTAACTACTTTCCTTTGATAACCTGTTTCATACTAATAAATCAATTGAATATCAGTCATCAATCGTTGCACATAATATTAGAATAATATAGAAGTAATATTCTTAAGTTATTATAATTCTTTTCATTTATCTGAGTAAGATAGAATAAGTCGTCAGTTCCAAAAATGTTAAAATTAATACAATTATGTGATAATTAGAAGTATTTGAATTATTATACGAACTAGGAATAACTGAAATAGCGCAATTTAAACCAAACAGAACTAGATAAGCACAAACGAAAGTATTGTATTTCGAATTCAAAATCAGGCAGACATGAAGTACAAAGGAATCTAACTTAAGGCGTTTAGTGTTTTCTGAAAGCAATTTTTATAGTTCAGTCAATGAAATATTTATGAACGGTTTTGAAGTAATCCCTTTGGTTAGTATCTTGGTAGAACTTCTTAACGTCATCCAATATGTGATGCAGAATGTTCAGTATTACTGTAACTGTTGTGTAAACTATGTTCAAATATCAATGAACTACTACTCAACAATTAGTCATCTTTAAAAGAATGGTTGGAAATTCAATTTATCCCGACATTAAAAAATATATTAAAAAAAGTCGTAACGTCAATGAGTATTCTAGAAAATTCGAATATTTTTGGAGAATATAGTATATTTTTAGCTTGAAAACTGAAAATCTTAGCATCAAACTGAATGTTTTTTTAGTAAACAATACTTCATCCATTATTATTAGTATCAATATACAGTTTTGGATTAATAGTCTGTGTTCACAGTGATATTGATACATTTATTTTATAAGCCTAAGCATAAAGTTATTTGATGAAAAGTGTATAAATAAAAACTATCCTTAATTTTTACCAATATCAATGTTCATCAAAAATATTTCATGAAAGGAACTTAAGTTTTTGATTAATTTGGAATTAGATCTTTGAATCTATCATTAATAAAGTGGGTGAAACCAACATTTTATTGAAAATCTTTGAATAATAACCTTTCAAAAAAATGAAAGTTTCATCCTAGTCTTCACTTAACCAACAACAATGAGATCAAATTACTAACAGTACAAACTTCATAAAACCCTTATGGAATTAAGTCAACCGAGGATTATTATTTGTGCTACTGGCGAGTAGTTTAATCATGGCTGTGTCAAATTTTCTCAGGTTAATTTTTACTTCGATTAATTAAAACAGTTAGTTTACAGAGATCCCTTATAAAACACAAAACAGTTGGAAATATAACGTTAGATAATATACATATAAAATAAAGCAGCAAAAGTAACAATAGATTCTCTAGTGGTGCTTCAGAAATAAGATACATAACACAAAGTAATGGACTGATTTTATGGATACAGTTCGTGAAGGAAAGAAACGTAACAAATAATTTTTTCACTAGTACTTCTACACTTAGGAAGCAAAACATTTACTCAAATGGATGTACGTTGCTCTATATATGCCACATAATAAGACGGATAGTAGGGTATAAATTCTTAAAGTCATAAGACTTGTTGAAATATGTCAGAGTGATCTAATTACTAAACATTATTATATCTTACTTCCGTTGTGCCAAATATCTATATATTTTGATATTTAAAATTTAGTAACTTATACTCTATAGAAGTTTTGTAATGCATTCTCTATTGCTTATAATTAGTGATAGAAAAGTTGCAACTTGAAAGGTATGATGAAGTTTCATTATAATTTTTAAAATTGTATAATCTGTCAAAATTTAGATTATTACCGATGAAATTTATTATTTCTAAGTAGAAGTATTTGGTTAGGCAAAATCTTCCGAATTCTAGTTATTCAGGTAACTTAAATGAAACTTTCATGTCAGATTGATTTCGTTAAATAGGGGATTACTTTATAAGGGAGTACTTCTTCATAGAGCCATCACACTGAACAACGTCGCTTTTAGTAAGACATCAATAAAACGTCTTTGCAAACCTGAGAAGACCTCTTTGAGTTGTGCTCGATGGGTCTTATTGGTTTTGATTAAGATTAAACATTTATTATAAAAAGCTGAAAAGATGAAACTGAAAAATGATTATAGTTAGATTTTAGTTGAATCAATATATTCGCCTTTGAATATTGTGGAACTAGTTAGGTGAACCAAATGTTGAAATTATAAGAATAATAGATTAACTAGAGTATCAATCCGTTTATGTAATGCAAATTGAACTTATAATGCAAAGCTAAAATATGAAAAACATATTTTCTTAACAGTTGATTCATCTTTATAGAATGCCAATTTTGGACGGCTAGAAACTTAAAGTCATTCGGCTGTAATGTTGATTTTGAAATGTTTCAACCAACGGTTTGTCAAAATGCAATAAAAAATAATAGTGGAAGTCCAAAATGTTTTAGATTAATCCATGCCGATAATATAAAATATAAGGTCAGTTAGTACAATAAAATAACATCAATGCGATGATTAATTGTGCTGTAGTATTCCTGAAGCCTTCAGAAAATGTGAATACGTCCTTTAAAATTTCACATTTTAGGTTAGTAAATTTGGTTTATGAATTCAAACTCGTATGGAAGAAGACGCTATAAAATTTTATGGTTATCAACCAGCCATGAGATAAATCTATCTTGACTTGCATTTCTCCTATTATTTTTTCAGAAAATTGACTTGACTGCATGAAACTGCTTGTTGCAAATTAAATACATCGATTGTAATACGGTGACAATAGTTTAGAACAAGGGTAGAGATATTCAGCTCCTCTTTGTGGCATACAAATTGCTTCAGAGTTCTAAAAACATATTTTCAAGACACTAGTTTATGGTTGACAAAATTTAAAATCATGTGTGAGCTAATAAAGCTGATTAGTAGGTATCAAATTGCATAACATTATTTTTTTTACTACAGACATATATGGTGACTTCTTAGATACAGAGATGAATTTTGTCTCTAAAAGAAAAGTAATGTGAAAAGTAGAAAGATTTGAATAGGGTTTAGTATAATTATTAGTAGATCACAGGACTTTCCAATGCGTATTTCAACAGTGACGTATAGACCAGTTATCAAGTCACAGAGAAAGCAGTAACTACATTTGAATGCATTGTAATTTGTGATTTGAATTAAGTACTTATAAATCGTCTTCACAAGTATTAAGCTGTTTTTCCACATGGAGAACATAAGAGTTAAACGCCTTATACATAAGGTAAAATCTACATTAAGTGGGTAACTGTTATCACGTTAATCCGCCGATCTGTATGTGGTTGGATATTCAGGGAGGCTTTTTCTCGAAAATAAGTGACGTTTAAGGTGTGCTAGGTTACGCAGCATAACCTTGAAACCGGGAATGTGTGAGCTCATTTTGTGACTTATTGGCCTGAGAGTATAGAACTATCCTATTTACTGACTGACGGCCAGCTGCGCGGATATTCATTGGGTGAGAATTGAAGAGACAGGACAACTATGACAGAAAATCTTTATTTCCGATTGTACCAGCTCAAAAAGGTACATGAACAAATGTCTAACAACTGGAACACAACCTTCAATAAATGAGAAAATATTTGTCAAAACAAGGTCCAAAATAACGTATAAATGTCGCTTTTAAATTATATTCAATTTGCAATAAGAAGAGATGTGAAAATAATCTGTAGGCTAAACGATTGATTATGATTAAATCGAATGAGGCAATCACGCAAACTAAATACTAGTTAGTACAAACTGCAAATTAAGCGGAATAATGCCTCAAGAAGTGATTTACTTCATTTACCATTTTTTATTTGTTTTTCTCTTCACAGTAACAACTAAAGGAATGATATTGCAGATAGTGACTGTTCACTGTTATTTTCACGTAACATTTTATTGCAAAAAATATGTGGAAAATGTCAGCGATTGTGAATCCAATTTCATACGATATTCACTCTTTTAGAATCAAGGAGCTTACACAAACTATTGACTAATATACTAAACTTTTCATCTATTGAACATATACTCTCTGTAGATATTAAGTGTAATGAAAACCATCTTCAAATAGACATGCACGTTTACTTAACTGATATACACAGGACTCAAACAAACCCGTATGAGTTTGATGATGTGATGAAAGTATTGTAGTTAATTATATCAATAATATATAGAAAACTATCATGTAATACCATTTGAATATGGAATTAATTGAGTCCAATATTTTTGTACAGGTCCATTACAATCTGAAAAAAATTACACGAAATTATATACATCATAAGTTGTATCTTATTAATTAATTCACTAATTTAGACGAAATAATTAATGGGTATTTATAACACTGAATCGATTTTTGAATGATAGTGACAAATGAAGATGACATTTTCTTAGCTATCAACCTTACAGAATAGTGTTAATATTCATAACACTAATAATCGTAGCATATAAATCATGCTTTGTACTCCCACGAAGACTGTAATGACGTTACTCATGA